CAATCTTTATGCATCTTTGTGATTTGTTTTGTTTTAAAGCCAAGTTATGCGAGTTGAAATATCCATTTTTAATACCGACGTTTTTTTTCCAACTTTATCAATTTGTCACTTTATCCTACAACTTCTTATCAACTTTTTGTCATTTTTTTTCGAAATTCATTTCCAATGAAAAATTTGTTGTATCAGCCATTTCCATGCAATAAACTTATCACAATAAATATTAGTTGCAATCATAAATGTCTTTTTTTCTAAAAATTTCTTTCACTATTTAATGCCGACAACGAAACGATAGTTAAAGGTTATATTCGAAATCAAGTAGATAGAATAGTCAAATTGCTTTAATTAGCGTGCGAATATTCTGATTTCTTACCCCTCGCACGGAAAAATTTTTAATTGAACAGTAAAATTTTTAAAAAAATCCGAGTGATGCTGGGATGCTGACTCGTCTGTATGTTTTCTGTCTGTAAATGACTCGCGGGTAAAATTACTTCATTTTACTTATTTCTCTGAAAGAATAAAATAATACCAGATGACTGGAGCGTAGCAATTCTATTTTTAATTCCTAATAAAGTGTCCTAATAAGTAAGTAAGTGATAGGACATACTTTGATAACTATCGAGGAATCAGCCTCCTAGGCATCTCCGGGAAAATTTTATTCAGCAAAAACAGTAAAATACATCCTAACCAAGTTGGATTCAGACCAGGACGTGATTGCAATGACCAGATATTCGCGCTAAAAAGAGTGCTGAAACACCGATGTAAATATCAGCAACCCACCTTCACACGTTTTAACGATTTCGCAGCTGCCCTCGATTCATTTAATAAAGCAACGCTTTGAAAGGTGATGGAATATGACAGTCCAGAAAAGATCACCTCATTAACTTAAGATTTTATCAGCGTATATGGGTACATCTCTACGTATATAGAGACCTGACAGACCCTTTCGAAACGAGTCTGTCAAAGCTGCTTCCTTTCTCCTACAATATTCAACTGTGCAGTAGTCTAAATAATGGACGTCTTTTTTGTTGACAAAATGCAAATAGTTAAACAATTTGTCGATAACTGCAGCCGGACTCATGGTCAATGTAAATAAAACGAAAGCTTATTTGTCTTATATACATACAACCTGATTAAATACCTATTTTTATCATTTCACTGCCGATTGAGGAAGTGTCAGATTTCAAACATCTCAGATCTAATGTAAACTCAAACGGCTATGCGAACAATAAAATTATAACCAGATAATGGTAACTGGAAATGCCTTCTTCCGGTTGACGAAGCCTTATGTGGAATCATCGCAAAATCACTATAAATAGGAAAGGTCGCGTCCATATAACTGCGATTCGCTTGATCTTGCGATATGGCTTTGACGCAAGGTCGATGAGATGGATGTTAAGAAGCTATTTTCCTTTATCCACTCATGTTAAGGTAATATATTTTGCTCATACGCCTCGCATCTGGCATGGTTGTATCCATCTTCTCTCAAATACCACTTCCATTAATAATACCACCACAGAATCTTTTCGCTGGTTAGAGCATTCTTCATTGTTGCCACTGCTCCATTACAGATAAACCAATTTAGACAGCAATTTTTCGATTTTTCTGAAACTTTTACTTGAGGTTATGGGGAAATTTTTGTGAACATAACATTACTTCTATAAGTTTGAGTCAGTTTTTTTTACAACTCTTTTGGTTCTTTCTATATAATATATACACTAAATACTATACTCCTTGAAAGGAATTTTGCAGAAAATTGTGGGATCTTTGCGACATAAAGGCTATAATTTTGTTTAAAATGGAAAACATTTTAGAGTATTATTTGAATATTATTCTCTAAAATACTTATTTAGAATTTTTTGTTAATTGGTCTCTTCCAGATCTTATTGAACTTTGGCACTTTTGACAAGATTTTTTAGTAGCATTTCCTTTGGCAGCATTTTAACCCTTTCAAACTGTGGAGTCCTACCGTATTTTTTTAAATTACATTTTCGCTATGGCAGAAAATCAAAATTACAACGGCATAATGCCTAAATTTATGTGTGATCCATGAGAATTTATGGTAAGAGGGCTTTGAGAGAAAATGAGGTTATGGTGTGAAACGTTAAATGGAGTTCTTAAATGAATTCTATCTAACGAATTGTGAAAAATTTTTAAAATATTTAAAATTTTTTTAAAATGTCTCAAAACCTGTTTTATTTCTCCTAAGCCACCAAACCTAATCCCAATTTCTCACCCAACAGCATTTCATCTTAACTGATGGATTTAGATAGATTAATTTTGAAATAAAAATATAGTTTAACCAGAAAACTCGGACTTCACTTTAAATGACTTATATAAACGAGCAAGGAATAAAATATATATATATATATATATATGAACACATGACCTAAGCCAAAGCAGTTTCGCGCGTTCCATTTATGATAGGTTTTTCACATTTTTACTTTATTTTTTATTTTTTAAAATATTCTTGTATGGGAACTATTTGAATATTGCTTTTATGCTACGATGCCTTAATTACAAACATATATATTTATTCTTCAATTTTTCTTATCTGAAAATTGAAAAAAAATTGAATGAAGCTTATTGAATTTTTTATGCATGAAAATGAATCTGTTAAAACATCACTTGCATAAATATTTCACATTTCTATAATTTATTTTCATTTACATTAATATTAATATTTTATATTGCTTTTTATATTTCGAAATCCCCAGCATATATATTATATTTTGTATATGAAATCGATTCGCAGAAAAAGAAAAAAATGCTAGCGATTCTCTATAAAAGACATTCACATCCCAAGAAACATAAATATGCCTCATTCCCCATAAATGTACGCCTCAAGATAGAACTTTTCGAAATCTTAAAAGTCTTATAATTTCTTCCTCGAGATCCTTCAGTTCTCCCTTTACACCTTACTCAGTGTAATACTACTTTTTGCAAATGATAATTTATATCTGTGTATATGGTAGACTATGCAATACGAGGCATAATAAGTGGGGTAAAGAAAGTACAAAATAATATCTTCAGTGGATTATGATAGAGGAATTGCTTCTAGAAATGCTCCTTACACTCCTAAGACAGTGTGTTTGAGAGAATCTTTCACATATAACGCTAAAAAACTGGAGGCCTAGATTTAAACAAAAATTTTCGCACGCAATATACCAATCTTAATAAAATGGCTCAATGAGATCTGATAATAATAGAGTGCCATGGCAAGGTAGTAGAATTTATATAGAATAAATATAATAATTTAAAAAGTTGTTGTTATTATCTTATTTTATCTTATTTTAATAAGGAATGTGATTAGTGAGGCGTTAGGATTTTGAGGGTGAAAGAAGCTTCTGGAATTAAAAAGTTGTTGTTATTATCTTATTTTATCTTATCTTAATAAGGAATGTGATTAGTGAGGCGTTAGGATTTTGAGGGTGAAAGAAGCTTCTGGAAAGTTTGCCATGAATTTATAATGGTTTTTAACGGACAATAATAGCATAAGGAGATTTTCAGTTGCTCATACTGATGAGGCAAAATAATGGCAAAATAATTCTTATTGAATGACTACAAAATGTCTAGTTCGAATTATTAAGGTTATAATGATTGATTGAAGTGGCAAAAAATTTACTTCATTAGTAAATGATAACGATATAACCTATTATTATGTATACACTTGGTTTCAATCCCAAATTTCTAAGTAAGCCTTGCGATTTTTAGTTTGTAACGATTAGCTAAGAGGACCATCAAAAGCTAGTGTCACTCTTAGTCATCGGTTTTGATCCTCTTCATTTACGCTCAATCCGTTTTATTTTTCCTCAGACATTCCTAATTCATTTAGGAAATGAAGGAGTGATTATAAGATTTATTTGGCCAATATTATAGAAAAGATTAGATAATAATTTTTTTTGAGGAAGAAGCCCTAGGTCGACGTTCGTTTCGGCAATAACCTATAAGCCAGTTCATCACTTTCTTTATCACTTCCTACAATGAATACAAACGATCAAATTGTTTCGGATTCTACCACGAAAGAAGACGATGTGTATGTTTTTAATGTTTTTTTTTTAATTTAAAGAATCGTAACAACAATATTTTCTAGTTGATTGCGTTAATTTTCTCAAAAAATTTATTGAGAAACTTAATTTTTATCATATCATAAAACTAATTGTTTCAATGTTATTAATTTAAATGATATCTTTAAAATTATTTTCAGATTGCCGAATATCCTCCAGGCCAATTCAAAAAGAAATCTCTATGTTTGTTAAATTAACAAATATTAATTCTCCTCAAATATTAATTTCTCTCGGACTGCTTATATGATATGATAATTCAAAATTCCGCAAAAAGATTTTCTAAATTTATCACTCAAGAATATATCTGATTGTCGCTTCATCTCAAAATTCAAAATTATACAAAATAATCTTTTATTTAAACATTGAATTTAATTTTTTCACCTCTAATTATGATTATGAAAATGATAATAATAGTGATAATAATAATCCAGATTTGAGCAATACAATATTTCGTCATTGAGATTTCATTTTCCATTGAATATTTGAGAAAATTATTGGAAAGCAATACATGCCAAAACTATTTTAATGTTGAGATCCGAAAAATTAAAAATCCAAAATAACGAAGACGAGATAACTTCTTTTATTTATAATTAATATTATTTTATTTTATCAGAATCGGCTTATCGCAATAAGCAGGTGATAAGCCGCATTGAGACTGCTTAAAAGAAGTTTTACTAACTCTTAGTTCTTTTACTCTTCTGTATCATCCATGACTTTTATAATGCTAAGGGCAAGAATTGCACAAGAGCTTCAGATCCTCAGAGACCCAATTTACAGAAAAATCTGATTAATTATGTCTATATATATATATATATAATGTCTTATTTGAGCAAAAATAAATCACTGAAGAGATTTTGTGATATATATGTCAGTAATTCTTTGTTCTAGGATGTTCCATTTTATATCACTTTGGAAGATAAAGTGAAACCAGGTGAAATGCTCGTGATAACTGGTAAAGGAAGAGCAGGAAGCGATAGGTTTGTAATTTAATGGATTTTTGTACACTAATGGAAAAAATGCATACAATGAGAACAACAATGATTTAATTTAAGGCTTTTATTCAAAAAGAAAATATTTTTGCTTTAGGAAAAATCTGCAATTAAAAAATATAGTTGGATAAATGGGTGAGAATAAATAAATAGTTAGGATAAATACGATGAATAAGCAACGATTAAACGTCGTAATAGGTGCGTCGGTGCATTAATGCCAAGATGGCCACAGCTAGCCGACACATCTTTGGCTTTTAATGGTGAAAATAAAAGGAAATTGAATAGTTCTGTGGAGTTACTGCTCTCATTTTGAGGCGCTGAGGTTCTGAATCCGATAGCAGTAGACCTATTCTTCAAGAACCCAAGCATTATATGCGATATATTTGTATTTCTCTCGCCAAATGACCATCTCCCCGGCAAAATTTATCCAGTAGGACAAAAAAACACCGTAATATAAGCAGAAATCATGTAAATAACTTTAGGATCTCGATAAGTCTATGTGAATGTAGAGAAAAAATCTGTAATATTCCATTTCATATGTCTATTCGCTTTGATGAAGGAAAGGCAAGCCTTTTTTTTTCTACTTCAATAAGTAATTGGTAATTTTTATGAAAATTTTATAAAATTCATTTTATTATTCCTAAAAATATTAGTAATTATATCACACATTGAGGTTATTGTTCTGCTATGAAAATTTGAAGATAGTATTTAATGCATTTGAAAATGAGAAATGGGGTGAAGAAGAACGCAAAGAGAATCCATTCAAGAGAGACCAGTTTATTGATATTATAATCCGCGTCCATGAGCAAGATTTCGAGGTTCTCGTTTCCAAATTTTCTCTCTTTTCGTTTTAGTGTTTAGGCTATTTCGCTAATTATTGTCTTTTTTGGCTTTTTGGCAGAGGAGGTTTGCTTATTTCTAATTTTTCATCGAATAATTTAATAATCTTTGTTTTTTATTTTATCTATCATTATTATGAATAATTTTAGATTACATGTGATCGAAGAGAATTGGCTAATTTCAAGCATCGTTTACCGATTTCGTTGATCGAAGGCATTCAGTTCGATGGAGGCTTTTATCCACATGAAATCATAGATTTCATGGGGCGATATTATGTTAGTTAGTATATTAGTCAAAAATAGGCGTCAATTTGGTTTAAACTTTAAAGAATTCACCAAAAAATTCTTAAATCTGAAACTATATACAAATCATAAAAATAATCTAGGAAAATAATGTGGTGAGAATCGCCGATTTTTTAATATTGAGAATCTCAAAAGAAGTATTTTTTAAGTATTCTAACTTTTCGTTAACTATACTACTGACTATACCAGATATCAGATATCTCTGTCAAAAACTTCGGATTTATTGTATAGTGCAACGAGTGAATGGTCGCAGTACCACAGCTTTGAGCATCTTTTTTTTTCTTAAGAGTCCTCACCATTATGGTTAAACTCGCTCCAGTGGCATTGGGAAATATGTGAGGGAGTCCCTTGGCGATAAAAATGCAGGTGAGTCGAGTCGCCAGCATCACTCGAATTTTTATAATCAGGTTTTCTCCTGCGGAAAATCGAGCCTTAGTACTGGTGCTCCCAACTGAGCAACAACATTTTTGCCATTTTATCCGCTTGTGTAGTGCAACGAGTGAATCATTCAGTCACAGTACTACAGCTACTACAGCTACTTTAGACAGCTACAGCTTGGAGCATCTAAGTTCATCACAAGCATCGTGAAGGGAAAAAAATCTTATCATCAAAAGTGAAATCCATATTACTCTATTAGCGAATATATTTCTATCTCTAAGTAACACGATTCCTTTTCCAACAGCAAAGCTGGTTAGGGTAATTCCATCGGATATGATAAGAGTGAGATGTTTTCTTCTCTCTCGCCTGTACCTCATGCATATCTAATGACCGATGCCTACTGATCAATGCAGCCATTTTAACAGAGTCTTCTACAAGAGCGCTGGGAAATATCAAGGATCAATCATGCCGTTGTTTATTGGCGGACATTTTATTACATGGTACAGGAATTCCAGCAAATAATAGATGTGGCAGTATTGCAAAAATCTGATAATTCAATCATATCTATTGCTAATCCCACGTTTAAAATCATTTAATAAGTGATAAATAATATAAAATAGCGATATGAAATTAATCATATGAAACTACAAATCGAGAAAACAAAAATTTTGCAATAAAAATCTCATATTTATCAACGCGATTTGTTGGAATTCTCAGTTTTTGCGAGTATTGATAAATAAACTTTAATGATATTAAAGTTAATAAAATTTAAGCAATGAATGCCTAATATCCAAAGAGTTCTATTTAAAATATTGCAAATAGAAGTAAAATTTTGATAGTAGGGAAGGAATTTTTGCTATGTGAAATTTTAATAAATTTTCATCGAAAATTTTAAAATCTCTGGCTCAGTGAAATTTTTAGGCACTCCATGGAATCTCAAAGCATGGTCTTTATAACCGTTTCTATTTTCCTTACGACTTTAACTTTTGCAGTAATTACGAGAGAAATAAATTATTGAGTTGATTTTTTTTCGATTATTTTAGATGATTTTTCCTTGATTTGTCTTGAGAAATATTCAAGAAGTATGCTTTTCCGAGAAGTATGCTTAACGATTTTATCGAACTAAATTATGTAAGATTTCGGTAAATTTTAGAAAATGAGAATGCAATGCGATATGTTTAAAATTTAAAAAAGAAAATATTTTTCCTTGCATGAAAAAAAAGCTGAAATTTTCAGTTAAAAATTATTTTTATAGCCAATTCCATATGAAATTACAATGCCAAAAGAATGGGAAGGATTATCAATTCTAGGGCGACCAAAACGAGATGCTTCAAGATTCTTTATAAATTTTTTCAATAATAAAAACGATATTTTGCTACAATTCAATCCAAGATTCGATGAAAATGTTTGTTTATTTTATAAATTATTAAATATTTAATATTTTTTTAATTATTTTTTTATTCTTTCAAAAGTATTCTTAAAAATTTTACTACCAATTTCCCAGCAGTAATTCTAATTTATCTATTTGTATATTCAAGAAAAATCAACAAAAACTTAATATACATTGGAATGAATTTGTATATGGCACCTATTATAATCTCAACTGAATAGTATTCGTGCAGATTTAAAATTGAAAAACTAAAGGCAGCCAATGATAAGGTATCTAATGAACATGGTTCCGTTGCTCATCGCGCAATAAACGATTAACCTATTGCTGCTAGTATAGTTGCCTTGAAAAGTGCTTGGAGGGTACAAGTAGAAGAGCATATTTCGTATTATTACGCCAGTGTTTTTTTAGACGATTGTGCGCAATACTAACATCGCGAACAATTGGGGAGACGAAGACAGGAAAGGAGAGATGAAATTCGAACGATATGTTGACTTCGATCTAAAATTCACGAAAGGAAATACCGCATTTTATGTTCGAAATTTTCGATCATTTCCATATTCCCAAAGAGGAAATTTATAAAACAATTTATAAATTTTATTAAAAGTGCAAAAAAAAGATCAAAAAAATTTTATTTTTATAGATATTTGTTAACAACGATCCTCTTCCACCGTACACTTATCGCTGGGGAGATAATCAAGAAATTTCTAAAGTAGTCATAGACGGTGATGTCGATTTTGGCATATTAAGTAAATAATTTTATATTTTTTATCATTATTTTTTTGAATTTATCGTTAAATATTTACTGTTTCCAAAAAAAAAGATTTGTAATACCTATATTTATTTATAATATAATATAATATTAATACAAAAATATAATATTTATGATAAAAAATATTATAATGCAATATATAATATTTATAATACTTCCATTTATAATAAATAAATAATATTTATTATTTAATTTTGCTTTTAATTTTTGGATTTCAGATATCTTTTAATTTCGATCTTATCATTTATTCCATTTTTATTCACAAATGAAATCGTTTGCAATTTTTGGTGATTATTTTTCTTTAAAGCCTATCAAGCAATACGATCGATGATATTTTTTATTACTTTCATTTTTTTTTCTGGAATTCATTTGAAAAATTTTTGAAAAATTTTTTTTAAAAAATTATATTTTATTCTGTTATAAATTAATTGTAATAAAAATTAGTTTAGTTTGAATAAAATATCAATTTTTTATCCACAATAATATTTGTTATTCATATTTTCATTCATAGAATTATCATAAAATATTTGTTTGTTCGAACGGTTTTTTATGTGATTTCGATGTGAATGTGAATAATTCTGTTATGAAAGAATTAGTAATACCTATATTTATTTAGGAGACTTAAATGAGGCTACGATGGCCGAGTTCGTTTTGATAGATATGTTAAAATTAACCAAATAATCTCGCTTGTTTTGTTTTTCCAAAGACTGATACAAAACAAAAATGTAATTTTCTTTCTTATTGAAATAAATAAATCTTCCATAATTTATGAGCAATTCCCATTACTTGTTTAAAAATTCCAACTTGTCCAAATAATTGCAATTTGTCCAAATTGTTTAAAAAAGTAAAAATTTATCTAATTAATATAAAATTAATATAAAATGACGGTAAGCAAAAAAGGAATTTTTAAATAAAACAAATTGGGAAAATTTAATTTTGATATTATCATTTCAGAACGTTTAAAAAGCTAACTATTAAAATTGAACAGTTTGTTAACTAACTGTTAATAGACTGCTAAAATCCAACATAGTATAAAATGATCAGAGCCATAGATGATAAGATAAAACAAGAAGATATTGTAATTGTGGTAATTACATGGATTTAAATTTGTATATAAAAGTGCAGCCAGCATTTTACTTGTTAAGCGCCAAAGCACTTTAAAGTTGAACATTGAAATTTCGATAAAATATCAATTAATTCATTAATATAAAATATTAATATTAATTAATTTTATATGTTAATTAATTTGCATAATTTCCAACAACAATTAGTTTATAAAATCTGAAACGTTAATGGTTCAATGAAATGTTTTTTCATTGTAGCACATTGCACAAACCGAACGGCTACA